CTGAGAATTGATAAGTGAACTGATGAATTTGCGATTAATTGATGACTACTCAACAGAGATGCTTCACCTATATCTTCCCGACTTTGGAACACCAAATTCTGCCACGGCCGTGGGCACAGCACACGGACGAGCATTGCTTAGGAGAAAGCCGCGGGCGTCGCTATGGAAGCAGCGGAGGCGACGTTGCCGGACCGCTAAGAACGTAGATAGGACCACCCAAGCATCCCTGGACATGCCAAAACATGCGAAGTTACAGGAACTCGTAACACATTTTCGAGGTGCACTTTTTTTGATGGGTCCCAGAGTTTTGACCCAGGTGGCTCATTTCGTTGTACCCAAGGCGCCCATTGGCAACAGGAACATGGAGAAGGTTCGTTGCTTTCAAGCCAAACCCAGAAGTATGCCCCTTTGGCTCTGTCCTATTTCAAGCAAAAAGATACATTCTCGAAACCGAGGGCTGAGCCAATAGGTATCCCCTAAAGGTTATGACACTTTCGCAGAGGACGATGGTCCATCTTCCAACTTCGACTGTCAATAAACAGTGACCTTCGTCCTATGAGATGCCCTCAGAGTTGAGTCGTGTGTACACAGATTGAGGGGCCTCTCATGACAACATTCTTTTGCAGAAAGTGGACCAAAGCCATGTGCTTTCCATTTCAACGTCATTTAGATGGGAAGTGGGGGTATGTTCTCCCGAATACGGTAGATGAACTTTTGCTGCTTGGGTAATTTCATTTTTTTGGAAACAACCGTGGCTTGGGTGGCCCTGTCACAAGACCAACTGCCTCGACTGCACTGACTTTAAATGCCTCGACCGCACTGACTTTAAAGGCCTCGACTCTACTCAGGATCTACCCGGAATCCCAAGTGAAACCAATGTTCAAGGCTATCTTGGAACAAAGCTGTGACCTAGCATCAAGCCAACCGCTTGACCATTTTCGAGGCTTGGCCACTTTGAGGCCATCAAGCAAGCTACCCACACCTGATTTGGTCAAGCCATGTCAAGCCTGTCACATCCACAGGATCGACGAGGGCACCGACAGTCCACCGGCTTCCAGGCTTTTCCGGAAGAAAGTCACAACTAGAATCACCTTTGGGGAGTGGGAGGTAGATTTTGCTCATGTGCATGTTTTCATGTCGTGTTTGAAGGGTTGTGTGATGCTATAAGAGGAGCTGTTTCATTATCGTTTTTGACATGGTGGGGGGGTTGTTTAGGCGCTGTATGTGCATGCTGTGCTCTCATGTCCCAACACAAGTGGTACAAACATTGTTCTCTCATCTCTTTTCGGCTGATATCCTCATAGACATGATATGTCAGTGCTTGTGGCTTCTATTTGTGGATTTCTGATGTCCTGACGGGTAGGGGGAATGTCCTTCTGAAAGAGGCAGGTAGAGTGACATTTGGATTTTGACGTGCTGGTAAAGGTCGTATTTGAGCTTGGCTGGGTCTTTCTTTCTGCCTTTCGAAGTCGATCCGGATTGAAGTTGGAGAGGAACGCTGAAGTCCGAAGCTTCGCACTTTGGCAGGCTGAGACACGGTACTATGGCAGCGCCTTGAGTGACAGCAGGTTGCCCCAGGAATTGTGGAACTCACCTGGTTACAAACTGGCAGGTTCGAAAAAGAGTGGTACCAGGAGCAGAAAAGACCCTTTGGCCACTCTTGCCCTTTGCTTTCCCTTGGTCCGTTTTCCATCCGTTTTCCTTTTCTATTTTTTCGGACCCAATCAACCTCAGACGCCGGTTTGTCACACTCTGCGTCACTCAGGTGACTCCGATGAGCTCGAGGAGGTGGATCTGATAAGAAGGGCTTCACCTGACGGGGATTGGATGTGATCTCACTTTGAGGTTTTGTCAGGTTACCAAGTTCGACGAAAAAAACATAGGATCCCCACATATACAGTGTATGTGGGGATCCTATTTTTTCCGTCGAACTTGATGAGACCTGGCACGATGGCATCCGAAGATGCCAGACATTTGACTCCTGTAGAGAATGCAACACAGGGTTCCAAGAATTTCAGGATTGTGCAGGTATTTTCATCGTCAACCGAAGAACTTCGTGTGACATCTACCTACAAGTTGTTATTTTGTTCCAGTTGCCCCTTGGAGCAGATTCAGTTTCTGCCAAGATACCAAGGCATCGACATCGCAGTGCATGTCAACTGGTCCGTACCTCGCACCCGTGACGCCCTCGTGCAGGTCCCTGTCCGCTTTGCCCGGCCTTCGCTACGCAATGCGGAGTCCGACGTGACGGTGCGCTCAGAGCCGCTCAGAGCGCTCAGAGTCCGGTGCGAAATGAGCCTGGGGCTCCACCCAAAAAACAACAGTGGCTCCGGGGTAGCAGCTTGACATGTCTTTCCGCCTAGCTCGGACTGCATGCGAGTCAGCTCAGGAAGTCTCCCCGGAAGCAACAGCAGCTCGGTGGACTCGCAACCCTGCGCGAGAGACCGATGCGGGCGCCACCGCGTGGGTGTCCGAAGGCTCACAGGTGCGTCACAAGAGCATTTCAGCAGAAACAGGGGACTCATCACCACATGGTCTGCAAAGAAGATCTGTTCATCTTCCGGCTTTTGAAGCCCCTTCCAATCAACCTCTTTCCGATCAACCTCCACATCATCTCTCCCAAGACCGTATGAAACCACATTAAACCCACCATGGGTCCCATGCACCGTCCTACACCACTTCCGAGGCTCCGGATGGCACAGCTTCTGCCCGGCTCGTCCTTCGGCGAGTTGGCTCTGGATACCAAGCTCCCCCGTGGGTGGCCCCAGACGTCATGGCTTGAGCCCCTTTCGGTCGGTGGCGGCTCGGGCCGCGGCGGTCCGAGCGGACTCGGTGCTCAGGCTGGGGGTACTTGTTGAAGCTCAACTTGTGAACCTTCTGCAATGAAGGATGAAAAGATATGAAAAGGATGAATCTGATTAGATATCTAAGAGATTTTGACAGTGGCTGGCAGGTTCTGAGCATGGGTCCATCCTGCCGATGCCCATGCCACTCGCGGTCTTTCCTTCTTTGGAACCAAGGTCAGTCCACAGTGAGATGCGAGGAGAAATGTGCCGTCGCGGTCTTGAGGCGTGAAGCTACAGATCTCGAGTCGGGGATTTTTCATGAAGGACTTAAAAAAGAATCAAACATATATAAAACCTCGTGAAGAGGCAGGTAACCGCCTTGAAGCAAGGTTGAACTTCAACATCGCCAGGGTCCAAGACCCTGCCGCATCCCGCGCCAGCTAGCGCTCTTGATGCTTTCTCGGTGGTCGCCGTATCATTAAAAAAAGGTCTATCACAAGATCTTGATGAACTCCGAAACAAGTCCGGGAGCCCTGACTGCGGCCGAACAGCTCGCCGACCCGCCCAGAGTAGTGCTGGTATGTCAGCTGTGGATTTGATGGTTTTCTTTTTGGGTCCCAGCCAGCTAGCACTGAGAATCTGAACACTGGCCAAATGCCGGAATGAGTCTTATGGTCGAAGTTCGCAGCTTGCAAGTCTGTCGAGCTGTAGCCAAGTACCTGGTGGGAAGTCTGGATTCGACAGGGGCGTTTAGGGGTCTGCGGGTTCCTTTGCTAGCCCGAGCACAGGTTCATCATCGTTCATTGGTCTTCCAACCACCCTGCCACTTGAAGATGAAAGAGGTGCTTTTGCACTACCAGCCATCCATTACACCTACACCCCCCTGAATCAATCCTAGCCCCCCTTTTCACTGAGGCATTATCTCTTAGGCTCGCAGCCTCACCCAGTTGGAGATGATATGAGGCTTTAGGTCTCCAACAGCACTCCCTGAACTCATCATGGAAGTGGAGTTCACCACCTGCTTGGTTTTCGGATTGAACATAGTCATCCGAGATCGTCGAGATCGGGGCCGCTTGCCAGCCACGTAGGTGTACAGTATTGTACAGTGTACCTACTTCTGCACCTCATCGCCACCCACGACCCAGGCCGGCGCTCGGCCTGGATGGCTTATGCCCGTAAGGCACCGGTGCTCCGGTCGCTGGACATGCCCGGGCACTGAGCACGGAGCTTTTGACCTCCCGGTTCTTTTGGAGCTTAAGCTGGGACCGATTTACTTAGTCCAGCCTCCAAAAGTGGACACCCGGACACCCGGTCGTTCGTTGCGAGGTCCTCGCGTTTGCATTTGGAGCCTCACGTGAGGATCCAACAGGCGACTGGGAGCGCCGGGTGCAACGAACTCGATGGCTCGGGGCGCCCCCAAAGAAGTCAGCAAACTGGTCAAACGGGGAGCATGTGGACTTCTACCTGGGGCCAACGTGGAACAACATGGGAACCCCATTTTGAAGAGGTACAAGTTGCCCAGACACGCCAGACACACCAGACGCAGAGACCGGTTGATGTCGGCAGAAACGCCATCAGCTTGCCCTTTGCCGCCTTCGTCATGAGGGTTTCACCACACTTTTTGGACCATCCCTTTCTGCCAGGGGAGGGTGGAGGCCGACCCCGCAGGCCACACCTGCCCTCTGCCAGGTGGCCCGAGGCCAGAAGGCCGAAGATCCGGACGGGGGGTCCGTTGTGGTGGTCGTGGGGTCCAAATGGACCGGGTTGGTCCGGTGCAAGTGGGAAGGGCCCTCGGAGGGTCTGTGCCAAGGGTTTGAAGAGAAGGGGGGTGTCTACAGCATTCTTCGGTGTTTGTTCTTGCCAAAACCTCGAGAGGTTGCCGGAACGTCTCAGTTGTCAGAGACTCACTGACTCGCTTTGCCCTTAAGTTTTCAGGGGAATAATGAAGAGAAATAACATGCAACACTTTGCTCCGCTTTCATACCAGAGCAAGACATGTCCTTTCCAAAATTCACTTGCTTCCCAAGCTGACATAGCAATTCCACTAAGAATGCTTTGGAGAGGGTCCATTTTCTTCTACCAAATGCCGACATGTCACTTGAGGGGACTATTTGGAGGGCTGGAGGGCGCCACCGCCCCGGTACCCTCCATGAGACGGCGGAGACATCGACGATGTCGGGCTCGGTCCGACGATGCGCCTGGCAGGTCTGCCAAATGGGAGATCCCATCCAGGCCAAAGATGCGGATTTTTTGGGGTTCGTGGGGTCGAAGAAACAGGTTTGTGCTGCTTCTGCCACATGTCCAAGTGGATTCCCAAGACATGTTCGTCCGGAGGACCATTTTGAGATGGAGAAGTAGACAGAATATGAACTTATCAAATTAAGGAAGACGAAAGACATTCCTGGAGGTTCTTGGCGGAGTGAGAGGAGCTCATCATATTCCCACGCATTTCTGGCATGTTTGTCCCTCTCCCATTCCCTTGCACAAGTGAGGATTGCTGCCCGTCAAACAAAGATGCCCTAGGGATACATAAGTACTACAGGATGTGTACACAAAGACCCCTTCCCCATGTAAGTTCCATGAACTTCCTTCATTCTGCTGGCCGACACCATCATTTTCCTGGTTCCATCCCAAAGATTCCATGGATGACCTATTTACACTTCCTGCAATCATCATGGATGTGGAGTTCACCATGGAAAACCACCTGTTTGGTCTTCGGATTGAACATGGTCATCCTTTCGTCTTCGGGGCCATTTTCCCAGCGTTGGCCCCATGATTCTTCCGAGGGTCTCTACATTTTGGGTCATACATGGAGTGTTTGGGCATGGATGTCGGATGTCAGGGATGGTCCCTCTTGAAAGAGGGGCTCCAAGTGGGCTCCAGCTGTGCTTCAACTCCAGTTCGGATCATCAACCAACGAGCACTCGTCCGTCGACTCCGAAAGACCTGCACCGTTTTGCAGGAGGTCTTCTTCGTGGCGGAGGGCATTTTCTCCGTCTCGCTCCGCGAGGGTGCGGCGGGGATGTGTGCGGCAGATGCGTCGCGGAGATGCCTCGGTTGCTTCTAAGATTGAGAGGTTAGGCAAGGATTGGAGCAGGTGGTGCAGGTGTTTGTCCTGAAGTTGTACCAAGTGCTGGGACATCCAGACGACTGCGCACCCCATACCATCACTAGTTTGTGTGGATTTCTCTTCACAAGAGTGGAAGGTTTCAGATGGGTTCAGAGCTTTCGGCGTTTTTGCGTATTTTTTCATTTTTTCATGTTCGACCTACGCCAGGTTCACCATGACCCCCAAGTAACAAAAATCATCAAACATCAAGTTACCTTCAGGACACCGTTCTACCGATGGCTCTTCTCCATGAACCATAAAAGCGATGGCCTCGGGTTAGGCTGCCTTGGTAACCCATGGCCCGACCAGCAGAGCAAGCTGTTGTGTTTGCGGAGCACGAACATATATTTGGTTTAGAACCAATCATTGATATAAATATACATGTAGAATGATCAACTCAAATGATAATTTTTGTTTTCCCTTTGATCAAGTCCAGCTTTTGACATGAAACCCTTTGACGCAGTTCTCTTGATGCCCTTCTATAGCACTCACAGAGACCGAGTCAAACCGGCGACGGTCGTTCCACGACCTCCGTCAAACGGTGAGCGCCCACCCAGGGCCGGCCTCCAAGACGGCACAACGGTCGGAGGCCGGGGGACGAGTGACCTGGACACGCGAGATCTGACCTGGACATCGCACCGGAGGTGACCTGGGGTCGGCTCTTTCTAGTCGCGCTACGATGTTGCCAGAGAGCTTCTTCTTCTTCTTCTCGTGTGATTCTTGGTACAGCATTTCTAAAAGGATCCCTACTAGCTTCAGAGCACGTCGACCTGGCAGCGTCACAACTGGCTCGGTTTCGCAACGCTCAGTGCTCCCCGTGGTTTCTTCGGCAGTGACGGTGAAGATCCGACAGAGTTGAGACCGTCACAGCAAGGCCAAATCGGATCTCAGGCCGTTGCTACACCAAACAAATCTCTTTTTTTAACTCTCTCCCCGCAAGAAATTCTCCACATGTCTTGTCCTCGGATTCTGGGATAGGGGCCCCTCGAATTGAATGAGGAAGGTGTAGTGCATTGTAAAGCGACCGGACTCGACCGTTGCCTTTTGAATAGCCCGTCCGGTCATCGAAGACTCCGTCAAGTCTCGGAAGAGTTGGTGCGTCCCGACCTTTTTCGACCTTTTTCATTCTTCTTCTTCTTCTTATTGTTTCTTTTTTCTTTAAGATTAATCATTTCGGTGATCCTTTAAGAGCGCAATTTCGAGCAACTTCGTTCTTTTTCGAGACCATAACATGGTGGAACAAGTTTCTGGAGTGGGGATGGCTTCGAGAGTGAGACTGAAGAAGTCTTCAGCCTGACACAAAGCTATTTTTAAGGGAGTTTCCTTTGCAGTCTGCCAGAGAGTCGACCTCTATGTGGAGTCCAACAATACAAACAGCATCCAAACAACTACTGGGATGAATCATGACACAGCTTAACCTAGGTTCCGGAAGGCGCAAACTAATTCTCTCTACACCGTGAATGCCTAGACGGTTCTCCATCAATGCCGCTCCGAAACCTTGTTTCTCCAACCCCAAGCGGCCCAAGCGTGTGTCACATTCGTTAATGACTTGCTGTGTCCTTTGCAGATTGTCACCTCCCTGCTGCGGGCGCCCGCCTGCTTCGGCTGGGCGGCGCAACTGCACAACGAGCCGGGGTGTCCTGGTTTGGGTTCGACGTCGGGAGTGGATGAGTTTCGGCCCTGGCCGTTTCGGATCGGGTAGGCCAAGAGGATGGGGAGGGCTTCATTGTGGCAGCTACTTTGTGGTGTTGTGCGTGCAAGAGGGCTCTGGATCTCAGCTTTAGTTAATCCTTTCAACCGTGACAGGTCACAAACCTAAAACCTAAATAGACCACTCAGCAAAGACATTGGGGGAGTGTCAGGGAGGAAACCAAGGTCATGGCATTCGGCAGATCGGCCATGATGCCTGGCTTCTGGATGTAGCTGCAATGCAGCGAGTACATGCTAGTCAAGTTGCCGAACATGAGCATCTATCGAAGTCGGAGATGGTGGCCCTTGACTGGAGCACCTGGAACCACGCCGATCTAGCCGTTTCTGCTCGGGTGCGGGTGACCGAGCGGACCCCGGAACAACGAAGAGGCGGCCCGGGGACGAGAGAGAGAAGCCAATGGACGGGTTTGTGACCAGGGAGAGTCCTTTTCGGATGGACATTGGGTGGCCTGTTTTTCTCCATCGAATGTATTGGTGCGAGTGAGGCTGGCATGGAGAAAATGAGAAAAGATGAAAGTGAGAAAACTTGAAGGACGATTTCAACAACGATTGAGGAAGAATTCAGAACTTCAGGATCACAGCTGAGTAGGTGATCGATATCTGCACAGCACGAGTGGGTGGTGCACCACTGTGCAGGAAAAACCCAACAACTGTTCCAACTGTTGGCCCCTCTTAGAACAGCTTGGTGGGACGGACTGGACGGCTTTTCCCTTTTATATGAGAGCCATCCAATTTTTATTCAAGGCCCTACATGCTGTCAAGATGTGATATCAATGCATGGCGTTCATACCCACACCTGGAAATCAGTTGACTGGAAAATCCCAGACTGGTGGCTGGCTGTGGGCGGGTGCAGAAGACCTGGCGAGGCCATGAAGCCCAAAGAAGACCTGGTGCAGAAGGAATTGGAAAACTTGAAGCCCTTGACGCAGCAGCTGGGCGATCGGCACTAGAACCGTGGAACCACTCTCGGTTTGGTTCCATGTGCCCTGAGAACTCATCAGTTTGAATTTGGTTTCGAAAGGGACCTCACAAAGACAGTGTGGGAAGGGACACATAGGAAGACACTCTAATTCCTTGGAACCATGTTTGGCGGCTGTGCCGCGGCTGAGGGTCTGTTGTGGCTGCTCTCTGTCCTTCGGCGTGGCGCTCATACTGCTAGCCTATTTGGCTCCTTGGTCGAAGAAAACTCCTCGGCCGACGGTTTCGTCGCTTTCGATGCGAAAAAGAGGAGCTTTGTTTCTACCTTGGATAGGTCGAGCACTTTGTTAGTGTCGGGCTCTTTTAGTGCCCCTGGTCTCGATACAGTACACACGTCTCGTGTTCGGAAGAAGACCCGTGTTCGGAGATAGGTTCCATTGGTTCCAGACATATGAGTGTGTATTAAAATAGGGAGGCCTCCCAAAACCCCTGAAGAAGGAAAATAGACCAACATCCCCTTGGTTGGGGATCTCCCTATTCCCATACACACCCACAGGAGCATGGCTAATGACTCTAGCCCGTACATAGTTTGAACATGACACCAAGCTTGAAGTCTAGTTGCGAAGCATGTCGCTTCGCGACATGTTCTGAGGGAGCTCAGAACAAAAATCCTGGGCAATGTTTGCAGGTGGTTACAGCAACATGCTTCTCGTACTACGTGAGGCACGCACGAATTCTGATCTTCTAGCTAAGAGAGCCTCACCTCTGATCTGGAAAATGCTTTCGCTCCAAGAGTCGTTGTTGGGAGAATTCCCAGACGAAGCTCCAGAAAAACGAAACAAACAAACAAGTCGACTCGACTCGACTCGACTCATTCTTTTCGCCTGAAATGTACACCGGGGTGGTGACTCGAATTCGTCGAAGCTCAAAACTCCATTTCGTCGAAGCGACCCGGTCGTGATTCTGGCCTCTTCGCCACACAGACGAGGCCCGGAGCATTTACGTCTTGGTGGTCACCACCGGCGAGGCGGGAAAATAAGAAACAATCCGAACTGGCCGTTCATCACCACTCAAGGTCCGGTGGAATGCCTGAGTGATTGGATATATTGGGTGCCTGGTGAAAGCTGACGATTCACGGAACTTCAATCGAGAAAGTACAGGGTTCACTTGGGCTGGCAACAGTCTGTACGGTCGAGTCACTCCAAGTCTTTTGACGCACACCAGGAAGGACTTTCTCATTTCTTGAAGAAACAGGGACATGGAAGACTCTGGAAGACCCAAAGTGGTCTTTGAACATGACGGATGAGGGGCAACCTCCTCCACCTGGCACGCCGGCTTGCCTCGGGGAATGCTTCACCGCCCAAGCTTCGACCTTCTCCCATGACCGACTCCGGACCACTCGGGACTCAGGCGTCGGAACGCCAAAACGGCCCTGCCGCCCCCAAAACGACCCGTCCTGTCTTGCAAAAGGGGGGCCAACTGAGGAAAAAGACATGGCACATCAGGTTGCTTCCCTTCGGATTGAGGGGATTTGGGCCAAGAAATTGTGGGAGGTTGCAGATGCTTGGAGTCTGCAAGGTGGTGTTCCAAGAGGAGCGATTTGAGTCCAGTAGCAGTTTGGAGCTACAGACCTTCCATGCGCGCCCTGGCTGAGATCTTTAGAAGAAAGTGCTGTGGGTTTGCAGTGGGATGTTGAAGTGGGTTGAAGCCAGGCTTGGCCGCAGGGTGTGACTCTTTGTCTCTTTGTCTTCTTCTCTCACTGTCGTCGGTTTCGATCCAATACCCTGTCGACCAAGGTGGAAGGAAAACACAAAACCGTCTTGAAACATGTTGAAACACTCCGTCTTTTTGCTGTCGGTTCAATACCTGCCTTTCTCTAGATGCCTTCCACGATTGCCAGCGAAAAAAGAAGAGCCCTCGCACATTCGGAAGCAGAGTTGACCTTCTTCGGTCCATGGGAGACTTGAGCTCCAGCTGTTTACTCCAACCCATGGGTTTATGGAGCGACCAGGTGCCATCGACTGTCGATTTCAGTTTTGCAGTGATGGGTCGTGGATAGTCGTGGACTTCAGTCCATGATACGCTTGTATGTTGTTTTTGTTTTTTTCTTTCTTCTTCAAATGCTTTGGAACCGAGGGTTTCACCGATCGAGTCACCACTTGAAGTGAGTCACCAAAGGATAATATGATGTTTCTACATCTGAAGACCGATCCGAGGTTCACGGCATTGCTGGGACTGCCCTTCATCGTCTCAGGCCGGTCAAGGTCTGTGTCTCACAGACCCATCCGGGCCCAAACACGCCGATGGACTCACACGGTGCCACCAACCTCGGACCTCGTTGGTTTCGGCGTTCTCGAACTTTAGTTGCCAGGCAGTAGACAGCAAAGCTCACTTCCTGAATCTGACCAATGTACTGCTTTGCCAATTTGCAAACTTGTTCAAATTTCTGCTGACTGAGTCACCAAAACGGCGACCAGAGGATCGCTGTTCCCGAGGCTTCTATGCCCTCTATGCTCACTGTGATTCCTACCTGCGGCCCTTCATGTACTTCATGATCGCCACCCGTTTTCAGCATCGCCCGCGGCCGGAGGTTGGAGGCGGTGGAAGGTCGGGAGTCGCATCGGAACGGGGCGTATGGGCGTGTTCCAAGAAGTCTCGGTCATAAGACTTGGAGGATGGGGAGTGACTCAGCCCACCCAGATCCCCCAAGCTGCGCCTCATGACCAAGGTGAGCTTCGTGGTAGCTTCTCGCTTGCAGATACACTCTGACTCTGGTTCCATGGAAGTGCAAAATAACTACTGTAGATGAACACAGGCCTCTTAGGAACAGGGGCTTTTCCACGTGCATGTGATGTGTTCGTCGGAGAGTACGGACACGTTCACCAGCGAGCGGTGGGATGGGGCCATTCCAGCCGATGTGCAGGGTAAATTGGAAGCCTTCCATGAACTCCCACATCTCGGCAAGGGCTGACCAGCGGAGAAGTATACTCGATAGACTTGACCCTTTTGCACATGTTTGCGCCTGCACACGGATTCGAACAGAGAAGTGGGGCCCGAATATCTGGCGACCCTTGAGGTTCTTGGTCTAATTCAAGGGGCCCGAAGAGAAGGGCGCCAGAGAACAAGCCCTTTCATCTAAGGGCGCGCTTGAGATGGTGCTGCCTTTGTGGATGAATGGCGCTTGTGCATTTGTGCCCGAAGGCGAGTTTTGTCTGTATCATCCGTGCAAAGGCGCTTGTGCATCTCTCCACCGCGTGTCTTGGGCCGGAGGCCTCAAGCAGACCGGGGCCGCAGGAGCTTGCGGCTTTCTGCGAGTGCTCTTCGTGGTCTTCTTCGGTGCGGAAACCCGTCGGTCCGGGGCAGTTTCGAGGTGTCCTGCAACGATGCAGAAATCAACGATGCAGAGTGCTGCTTTGATACTCCATCTGAGATATTGGACGTTTTTGGATGGTGCCCTGAACCAACTAGCTAAGGTAAACCTTGGAAGTTGTTCTCAATTCTCCAGGTACCATCTCATGGTGTGCAGGAGGTTCTGTGCAGCGCAGCCGCGTAGTGGCACACCGAGAGACGGCCAGGTCAGCTGGCTGCAATCGAGGCGTACTTCATCTTCGCTGTGTGGTCGCTGTGCGAGGACATGAAGGCACGTGAAGGTCTCGGGCGCAGCGAAGCTGTTGGGCGGATATTGAGGGGAAAACATGTGTTTATTTATTTTTCCCCACATCTCTGTGTGGGGTTCTAGTTTTGTTGGCTGCCATCCCGCCCGCATCCGTCCTTCCTTCCCTCCGTCCTCCTCGCCCCCCTCCTCCACTCACTCACTCGCTCACTCACTCGCTCGCTCACTCACTCACTCACTCACTCGCTCCACTCACTCACTCCACTCACTCACTCCACTCACTCACTCACTCACTCACTCCACTCACTCACTCACTCACTCCACTCACTCACTCACTCACTCCACTCACTCACTCCGGCTCTCTCCGGAAGAAGGGGCTGCGGCGCGCGTGGTCGCCGCTGGGGGCCCGGCTCTCT